ACTAACTGCTTAATTAGTAATAATACAATTTACTAAAAACAAATATGAAGGACCTTAATCAATAAAAAATAGTTAATCACATATGCCCTTTACATGGGATGGGCACAGAAAGAATTTAACAGAGCTTTCTGTATATTTGATTATTTTAAATCTACAGTTTAAGGTTGCAATAGAAATTATCAAAATTTTACATGACAAACATATAAAAAAGGTATTTTTGATAATTACTGATGAGACAATGGTTTACGGAAAAACACCAAAGCTGTGATTAAATACATAATTGAAATAATACGCATCTACAACTTATTTGAAATAATACACATCTACACAATTTGAAGTAATAAACATCTATAACCTATTTGAAATAATACACATCTACTGTTGCAAACTTTCCACAGGTGCTATCCAGCACTTTGATTTTTAACAGCATGTGTACATGATAGAATAAGGAACTGTTAATATATTAGCACCCTTCATTACAAACAAATATCAGCGACATTTACAAATCTGCACATCTTGAAAATCAAAACAAAGTTACATAAATGATTAAGCAATATAAATAAAAATTTTCAACGATTAAAAAGAAAGTTAAAAAGATAAGAAGACAAAACGGTCTATGATAAAGTAGTGTTATAGTTGCCACTGAACATAAAGCGAGCAAAACATCAACCAATCAAATTATTCGATATTATCGATCATACATCTGTTACAAGCATCTATGCTAAAATTGTTTAAAATGATGACAAAAATGTAACATCTGAATAAATTTTATATTGATCGACATACTTTGCTCGGGTAAGTGGAATAGAGGCGAAAGATACGAAAGGGACACAGAGTCTGAATGCTGAACAAGATGATACGAGATTTTCATCATCTGATAATTTTATAATTCCAAAGCCAAATACAGAGTTGTATAAGTCTAGTTGCTCTTACAGTGGACCTAAAGTTTGGAATGCTCTTCCTAGTAAAATTTAAAAAATCAAACACAGTATTTTAATTAAAACATAACTACAAATCTATGTACTTTTAACATTGCCATGATATTTGTACTTTAAAGCCATAGAATAATTGTTAATCGAGTTTAAATTGAATTCCATATTTATTTATCATTGTTATTGAATTTGTATTGTTTAATTTATTATGTAATTAGTATTGTATTAAGAGAGCCTAATTGAAAATTGGTGTTATCCCAATGAGTTCCTCTTTCTAAATAAAGATGTTATTATTATTATTATTATTAAAGCATACAAAAAACCTCATCCCTAATTCAAGTTCAATCACTTCTATCATGTTAATATAACCGCCATACGAATTATATATTCAAGTTCAATCACGGCTATCACGTAAACTCAACCGCCATACGAATTCTAATTCAATTCACTCAATGCTATCACGTTAACTCAACCGCCTTACGAATGTACATTCAAGTTCAACCAACTGCTATAAAGGTCACTCCATCGCCATGTGAATTCTAATTCAAGTTCAATTACTGTTATCATGTTACCTCAAACGCCATGCGAATCCTAATTCAAGTTTAATAACTGATATGACGTTAACTAAACCGCCATGCGAATCCTAATTCAAGTTAAATCACTTTTATCGCGATAACGCAACCACCATGCGAATTCTAATTCAAGTTAAATCACTTCTATCACGTTAACGCAACCGCCATGCAAATCCTATTTCAAGTTCAATCACTGCTATCACGTAAACTCATAAGCCATGCGAATCCAAATTCAAGTTCAATCATTACTATAAAGTTCACTCAATCGCCATGCGAATCATTATTCAAGTTCTATCACTGTTATACGTTAACTCAACTGACATGCAAATCTTATTTAAGTTCAAGCACAACTATCACGTTAACGCAACCGCCATGCGAATCCTAATTCAAGTTCAATCATTTCTATCGCGTTAACTTATAAGCCGTGCAATCTAAATTCAAGTTCAATCATTGCTATAAAGTTCACTAAATCGCCATGCGAAACCTAGTTCAAGTTCAATCACTTCTATCATGTTAATATAACCGTCATACGAATTATATATTCAAGTTCAATCACGGCTATCACGTAAACTCAACCGCCATACGAATTCTAATTCAATTCACTCAATGCTATCACGTTAACTCAACCGCCTTACGAATGCACATTCAAGTTCAACCAACTGCTATAAAGGTCACTCCATCGCCATGTGAATTCTAATTCAAGTTCAATTACTGTTATCATGTTACCTCAAACGCCATGCGAATCCTAATTCAAGTTTAATAACTGATATGACGTTAACTAAACCGCCATGCGAATCCTAATTCAAGTTAAATCACTTTTATCGCGATAACGCAACCACCATGCGAATTCTAATTCAAGTTAAATCACTTCTATCACGTTAACGCAACCGCCATGCAAATCCTATTTCAAGTTCAATCACTGCTATCACGTAAACTCATAAGCCATGCGAATCCAAATTCAAGTTCAATCATTACTATAAAGTTCACTCAATCGCCATGCGAATCATTATTCAAGTTCTATCACTGTTATACGTTAACTCAACTGACATGCAAATCTTATTTAAGTTCAAGCACAACTATCACGTTAACGTGACCGCCATGCGAATCCTAATTCAAGTTCAATCATTTCTATCGCGTTAACTTATAAGCCGTGCAATCTAAATTCAAGTTCAATCATTGCTATAAAGTTCACTTAATCGCCATGCGAAACCTAGTTCAAGTTCAATAACTGCTATCACGTTAACTCATAAGCCATGCGAATCTAAATTTGCGAATCTAAATTCAAGTTATATCACTGTTATCACGTTAATTTAACCGCCATGCAAATCTTAATCCAAGTTCAATAACTGCTATCATGTAAACTTATAAGCCATACGAATCCAAATGCAAGTTCAATCACTGCTATAAAGTTCACTCAATCGCCAGGCGAATCCTAATTCACGTTCTATCACTGTTATCATGTAAACTCAACCGACATGCTAATCTTATTCAAGTTCAATCACTGCTATCACGTTTATTGAATCGCCATGCGAATCTTAATTCAATTCAATCATTGCTATGAAATTGACTCAACCATCATGTGTATCCTAATTCAAGTTCAATCACGGTTATTACGTTAACAAAACCAATCACTGCTATCCCGTTAACGCAACCGCCATGCGAATCCTAATTCAAGTTCAATAACTGCTATCACGTAAACTTATAAGCCATGCGAATCCAAATTCAAGTTCAATCATTGCTATAAAGTTCACTCAATCGCAATGCGAATCCTAATTTAAGTTTATTCACTGTTATCACGTTAGCTCAACCGACATGCGAATCATATTCAAGTTCAAGCACTGCTATCACGTTAATTAAACCGCCAAGCGAATCTAAATTCAAGTTCAATCATTGCTATAAAATTCACTTAACCGCCATGCGAATCATAATTCATGTTCAATCACGGCTATCACGTTAACCCAACCAATCACTGCTATCACGTTAATGCAACCGCCATGCGAATCTTAATTCAAGTTCAATCACTACTATCACGTAAACTCATAAGCCATGCGAATCCAAATTCAGTTCAATCACTGTTATGAAGTTCACTTATAAGCCATGTGAATCCTAATTCAAGTTCGATCATTGGTATCACGTTAACACAACCAACATGCGAATCTTTTTCAAGTTCAAGCACTGCTATCACGTTAATTCAATCGCCATGCGAATCTTAATTCAAGTTCAATCATTTCTTTAGAATTAACCCAACCGCCATACAAATCCTAATTCAAGTTCAATCACTGCTATAACGTTAACCCAACCGCTATGCGAATGCAAGGTCAAGTTCAATTATGGCCATATCATGTCCAAAACAAACGACGTAAAGATCAAGAACAGTCTACAAAACACTTCACAGAAAATTTACTTATAAACACTAAAACCATTGCAAACTGGGGTAATTTAAGATGCTCTGGAAGGGTAATCAGATTATTTCCCCACTAGTATCCCCCGTCATCTTACGTATGACAAGTGAAAATAAGGAATTGAAAATAAATTAACCATTAAATGAGTATGAAAAAGTAAACCTAGAGTCAAACCGTTTTTCGAAGAATGGTACGTTTGCAATAGACCATTTTCATATAACCGACTTTTGACTCCGGGTTCTATAATATTTCGACTGGTTACCTACTCTGTGGTAGGACATCCTGGTACTCGGTCAATTACGAGCAACCAAAAGAAGTAACATCAAATATATAATCGATGCAATTTGGGGGAAAGTTTACTGTTTTCCGATGATTTAGTCATTGATCAGTTTACTTTCCCTCAAAATTTTACCGATTAAAATCTTGAATTTACTTATTTACGTTGCTTTTGCTTGACCGAGTACCAGGATGTCCTACCACAGAGAAGGATACCCGTCGAAAAAAAAATTCCGGAGTCAGAAGTTGGAAATATGAAAATGGTCTATTCATTTTAACAATAAAGGCTAATGATCCATAAGAAAGACAAAACATTGAAATACAATCAATAAGTGAAGTTAATCTTTGGTAATGTGGTACGATTCCCAGAAAGACAACCAACACTGTTCAAACAATATAAAGATGTTTCGTTATCCAAAGATACATCGAGTATGACTTTATCTAGTAATGTAACTAAACAAGGTAAGGTTAACCACAAAGAGTAATCTTTAAATGTAATCAACCTTCTGACACAAGATTTAAATAAAATGTGTTTTGCAAACTTTGATAGACCATTGTATACGATACCCTATCAGTATTCGTTAAACAGTTTACAGTTTAAGTCAGAAATATGCATATGATAAAGGCGAGCCTATAATTATTCAACATGGTTATTTTTGTGATAATATAGACTTGAAATTAGTTCGGACGGTTTTGTTTTTTTTGCGGTATGATAAATAACAGTTTAAAGCAACACACTTGAGTCCTAGCGGCTGAGAAGCCTAATTTTTTTATATCAAAATTTATAAATTGTATATTCAAATGTCCTGTGCAGATTACAGCAAAACATTGAACCAAGTAAAGGTTGCCATACATATAGAAACACAAAAAGAGGCAAGTAGCAGATTTATTCCGATTTCCGATGTGGTATGAGTTGATGGTTTATTATGTAAGAGACAAGTAGCGGATTAGTCTAGACTTCCAGTTGATGATTTATTATGTAAGAGACAAGTAGCGGATTAGTCTAGACTTCCGGTTGATGATTTATTATGTAAGAGTAAGTATTGCTACTTAGCAAAGAAAGTACTTTAAGAAAAGATAAGTGTATGAATTAAAAAAATATTGGGACTTTACTTCCTTGTTCTTGATTGCGCTTGCGCAGTATGAAGTATGTTCAAAATCATGAAGAAGTTATACTTTAAGTGCAAGACATTAATTTAATTTAAATCTCAGAACCGGCAACATATTTTAACATCAGTACATATATATTATTTAAATCTGGGACATAATATATTAGAATAATAGTCCCAGTTTAAATCTGCCTTAGAAGTGACAAGTGAGTAACATTATATTCTATATAAGCATATTATTCATTTTTTAATAGAAAAAAAAAAAAAACTTTTAATTTTATTGAAATGCATTTAACTTTGCTGCCATTGTAAATATAGTTTTTCAAATCTAGTTAGTATCTCTTTTTTATTCATATCTTGTTAACTAAACTATGTGTCCTAGGTCGTTAACGAACATATTTAGAGGTGAATGTAAACAGTTAGATTATAAAATAACAATTAGGAACTTTATGATGTTGTTCGACATTTTGACTCCAACCTGTATTTATTTCACATTTCGATATTTAAAGGGATTATATTTTGGCTAATTGAATTAAATCAAACGGTAACAAAAATATGTAAGATATTGTTCAATTTGAAGCACTTCTCTTTATTGGGATATAAAAGACATTGACCCAATCGTCTTAAAAGGAGGAAATAAATTTAGATCAACCAAATTTTTTGTACTAACAACCCCCCTTATATATACAGTATCTCTCTTTTCAGTATGATTAAGAAAACAACCAACACACAGATGAAATGATTTATCATCATGTTTACAGTACAGGCTCATCAGTATAAACCAGACTTCCCAATATTGAAGAGATATTAGGGAGTTCTACAGTTAATCTTACAGACATGGATGTTAATGCTGATGTATGCAGAAAACTTAACAATTACTTGTGCGAGATCATAGGATCAGAAGACGTCGTTAAAGTAAGGCGCCAATACTACGTTTCTTTAGATTATTTTTGTGAGAGAGAGACAGCTTTTATTACTAGTGGAAGTAGGTCAGAAGGGTTAGATATGGGTAGTGATTTAGATATAATGGGTCTGCTTACCTTTATACACATAAGTCAGAAAAGATCTGCCGACTCTTTTCTTATTCCGAACAATTTCACAATGGAAACCGAATCATGTAAGCCTGGGTTTACTCAACTGAAAGGACACAGTTGTTATTATCATCCTTTGGTGCATATGATGTGTGCGCCAATAAGCGAGGAATACGTTTTTGCTAGCGGTGATGTCCGACTTTGGATTTTATCTATAGTTAATTTGCTCATAAAGTCAATGGCCACCTTACATGGTCCATGTATATCTGATGGTGTCGAAGATGGTACAGTTGATTTTGCGTTGTGTTTGAGATGCCCAGAGTGGATCAAACAAGCACAGCCATGGTTAAAAAGAGAACGTTACTGGCCGTCTCCTAAGTTGGTATCGATAATATGTGAATATGGTATACTTTTGGTACCAATAGGCTGTAAGGAATCTCCCAACGAACACCTGGAATGGAGAATTTCTTTTTCCGTAGCAGAAAAACATCTAATATTCTCGTTTACGCACACCCAGCTCCTATGTTATGCACTCATGAAACTTCTATTAAAGGAAGTGATTAATAAGAGATACAGTTTGAAAGGCTTTATATGTTCATATTTCTTGAAAACCATTATTTTCTGGGTTTCCGAGGAATTTGATCCATCAATGTGGCGACCAGAAAATATTTGGCTATGCTTTATGAAATGCTTTAAGCGTCTGATATACTGCGTAACATACGAACTTCTCCCTCATTTTTTTATTACAGAAAACAACCGGTGTGTGTTTGAGCAAAATTTTAACCAAGATCAGCATCTCAAACTGGTAAATTGCTTGGCAGAACTGTATTCAAAGGGTCTGGGTTGTTTTAGGAACAGCAAGACATTATCACATTTCTACAGCGGTTTTTTTGTTTACACAAATAAATCTAAAATAGAAAGGATTTGTTGTGAAATAAACACTGTAAGTACTACACTGAATACAAGTGCTCAACTCCGGTTTTTAGGCATGTTAAGTTTTCTACCCGTAAAAGTAATGAATCACAATTTGTATGATGCGTCATGTCAATTTTATGGGCGTCACATAATCCGTAGATTTCTTGACATTAAATCGGATCGGTTTTTACCATCAATAGTATTTTGCAGATTTTGCCAAATATTTGGAAAAACTTTCGATATTCACGTTGATTTTCCAAACAGATATAAGTATAGCTTATCAAAGCGATATTTACCGTATTTTTACCTTGGAGTTCATGCAGATGCTGTTTCTGGATGGCTTTATTTAGCTACCTACTTTTATGGTTTTTGTCAATATAAAATAGCTCTACAACTTATTTTACATGCTTCTGTCAATTGTTCGGATAATAAATTGTTTCTGAATTCGATAAAACTTTATAGCAGCAATCGTGACGATATTGAAAAAGAAGGGATCTTCTCCGGTGTGTGGAATAGGTTAAATGTCTACAGGCGTCATGTCATAGATGAAATATCTTTTTATCTAAACTCGAAAGTTAATCCACAAGAACTCAAAGTACAGAATACAACTCAATCCTATATATGTCCTAATGTGTATTTATATTTTCTACGTTTCTTATGTTTATATCGTTTAAATGAAAGTTCCATACATCATACGAGTACACAAGCATTACTTGATATTAGGGCAGCCTGTCAAGATGAACATTTTAACTCTAATGATTATTCCATCGCTGACACCAGCGAATGTTTAGCTGTAGCTTTATCAATTTGTGGATGCCAGGAACAAGCTAAAATTGTTTTCTCCTATATTAAAAAGCTAAATAAAACATTAAAACATTTTACTTTCGATCCGAAATTATTATTTTTTTTATTTGATAAACTTCACAAATTGACAGGAATTGAAATATTTTACAATGAGTCAATGTTTATCTAATTACACTTGTTGATGTTAAGACAATATGAATTAGTTAGTTTTTTACCCCTGACACATTTGCTGATGAAATGTTTTAAGTTTCTCGTTTTTAAATATATCATTTTTCAGCGATTTAGTTCAAGAACGACATATAAATAAAATATAAGTAAATACAATTAGCATAAATTTTAACAAGAAACATTATAGTTACAGATATGATGCTGGTACCGACTGAATTGGTTTCAAAATAGTTTCTTGACTTTTTGAGTATTTTTGCCCATTGTTAGATTTTCCCTAATTACTACAATTTTCTAAACATTTGGTATTTATTTAACTTTTAAATTGACAACTACGTTCTTATTCATCCATCTGGTGAAAAAAGTCATGCATCTTTTGCCATCTCTTGGCGTCCGTCGTAAACTGTTTCAAAGATCTATATATAAAGTATGTGTTTTCTTTTATTCCGGTCAGTCGACACATAAGGCCGTCATGGCAAAAAATGAAACATACGGCTAAACGCATTAATCAAGAAAGGGATTTTTTCTCTTTCACAGGCATTGTTTTAAGTGGTTTCCTCTCAAGCAATTACGACGGAAGGGGAAATAAAGTTGTATAGTTTTAAAGAAAAAACATTTGTGCTACTATAAAAAGACTTGCGTATTGTTATCTGGATTCTAACTTGATACTGTTTTAAAAGGCAGATCCCCAAAAATCTAGCCAAATATAAACCATTGGAGTGTGATCAAAGTGAGTAGTGTCTTATTTTCTTACTTAAAAACCTTTATTCATTGCAATGCATGTACAAAGTTAGTGCAAGCTACATGTATTTCTGCTTACGGTTCGGGTAAGGAATGTAAAAAGTGATACAGAGATTACTAAAGAATTCCAGATTAGAGGATCAAAACTGTTAAATCACACTTCATCCAATGCAAGTTTTTGTTCCATAGATCCGACTCATACCAAATACTCTTATTTTTATATAAAACCCGTGTAAATCCCCACATAATTTTCATTATTCTTTGTTTCATATTGTAATGATAAATTGGCATTATATAAAATAATCAATGGTTAAAAGATTATTAATAACTTCATTTATTTTTACAGATGGAAACTGACCAAAACATTTGCAGAAGACTTTACCATTGTTTGTGTGAGACAATAGGATCAGAGGAAGTTGTAAAAGCAAGACGGCAATTCTATGCGACAGTAGATTATTTCACAGAAAAGAAACACTTTTCACTTATTACTAGTGGCAGCACGGCAGAAGGCTTAGAAATGGGGAGTGATATAGACGTAATGTGTCTATTTAGATTGGTGAATGTGAGTGAAGAAAGAACAGACGATTCGTTTCTTATTCCGAATAATTTTGTGATGGATACTGAAGACTGTAAACCTTGTTTTACTCAATTAAAAGGGAACAGCTGTAATAATGATGCACTAGTGAATTGGCTTTCTTCTCCATATGGACAGGAATTGCGGTTTGAAAGTGGACGTATACGATATTGGATTGTTTCGATCGCCGGCCTCTTCAGGCCTGTGACCTTACATGGCCCATGTGCTTCAGACATGAACGAATTGGAAGGATTTCTTGATATCACTGTTTGTCTGCGATGCCAAGTTTTTATTCAACAAGCACAACCATGGATTAAAAGAGAACGTTTTTGGCCTTCTCCGAAATTGGTGTCAAATATATGCAGCTATGGTACTTTATTTGTACCAATAGGTTCCAAGGATTCGCCAAATGAACATTTAGAATGGAGAATGTCTTTTTCCGTCGCTGAAAAACATCTGATATTTTCGTTTACACATACTCAGCTTTTATGTTATGCTCTTTTGAAACTTATGTTAAAGCAAGTCATTGATAAACAAGAGAAATTTAATGGCTTACTTTGTTCGTATTTCTTGAAAACCGTACTGTTCTGGGTTTCTGAGGAATCTGAGCCATCCATATGGCGACCAGAAAATATATGGCCATGTTTTTTGAAATGTTTTAAGCGACTTATATATTGCGTTTACTACAAATATCTTCCTCATTATTTTATAATCGAGAATAATTTGTTTGATTGTAGATTTAACAGACAACAACATCGCGATTTTTTAATATTTCTGAATGAATTGTATTCGAACGGAATAATTTGTTTTAGGAATTGTGATTTCCTTTCAAACTTCTTCAACAACGTCCCTCTTGCACCAAAGATGTCTGATATAGAAGTTGTTTGTTGTACATTTAATGCAATTATTCTAATGAATTCACGATCATATTTCCGGCTAATAGGAATGTTCCGTATCTTAGGAACCCCGTCCGAACAATTGAAAATGGGAAAAGTATTTATCAAGAGAATTTTGAATATAAAACCCAATGAATTCTTGCCATTTATTGCCTTCTCTGGGTTTTGTCAGCTTATAGGTAAAAGTATGGATATTCACACAAAATATCCTAACAAATATAGATATAAACTACTGAAGCAATTTTTGCCATACCTTTTTATGGGACTTCATACGGATTCAGTTGCCAGTTGGATGTATTTAGCAACATATTACTATTGTTTTGGCCAGTACAGAACTTCTCTTAAACTTTTATTCCATGCTTTAAAGGAATGTACCAATGATAAATTATTCAACGCAAAATGTACATTAACTTCTAGTAATATTTCTACGATTGAGAAGGAAGGAGTACGACAAAAGATATGGAAAAGGAGACATCTATATAAGCATCATGTTGTAAATGAAATAACTTTTTATTATAATTCTCGAGTTATTCCTCCAGAATTAGATGTACAGGTTACAACAATAGGTTACATACCATCGAGAGTATACATTCATTTTCTTAGGTTTCTCTGTTTATATCGGTTACAGGAAGATTTTCAGTGTATACACGCGATTGAAGACCTGCGGTTATACGTATTTAGAACACATCTTGAAGATAATGAATGTGCTGTCGGAGAAGCCTACCATTGTTTAGCAACAGCTTTGGTGATCTTTGGACAGTCGAAAGAAGCTCGATTTTATTTTGATAAATCAAACTCATATAAAGAAAAAAATAAGGGGTGTTATTTCTAATATCTAGTCTGATGTAATCCATTGATTATTTATTTCGCTAATTTGCCAAAAAAAATAACGTTCTTTTGAAGAACTTTACCTCTCTAAAATAGAAAAAAAGAGTCTGCTTTAATTCTCGTTCATGAAATGTAATTTTGTTTTTCAACCATACAATTTTTTTTCTATTTTCCAATTTCATTTAGAAGTTTGCTTCCAGTATATTTCCCTATGTTTGCAAATATCTTTAAATTACATTACTCTCTTGTAATAAATATTAATTAAATATCATCAAATTGTTTATTTCACTATACAATTGTTCTCATTAAGATTAACGCTTATTGAAAAACTTTCATAAAAAGTTGTAAGAAAGTAAGAAAGAGGATAATTAATTCTTTCATACGCATGTATAGATTTTTTTTAACAGCAAGTGTACATGATAGAATAAGGAACTGTTAATATATTAGCACCCTTCATTACAAACAAATATCAGCGACATCAGCTACACATCTTGAAAATTAAAACAAAGTTACATAAATGATTAAGCAAGATAAATACAAATTTTCAACGACTAAAAAGAAAGTAAAAAAGATAAGAAGACAAAACGGTCTATGATAAAGTAGTGTTATAGTTGCCACTGAACATAAAGCGACCAAAACATCAACCAATTAAATTATTCGATATTATCGATCATACATCTGTTACAAGCATCTCTGCTAAAAATGTTTGAAATGATGACAAAAATGTAACATCTGAATAAATTTTATATTGATCTACTTACTTTGCTCGAGTAAGTGGAATAGAGGCGAAAGATATCAAAGGGACATAGAGTTTGTGAATGCTGAACAAGATGATACGAGATTTTCATCATCTGATAATTTTATAATTTCAAAGCCAAATACAGAATTATATAAGTCTAGTTGCTCGTAAAGTGGACCTAAAGTTTGGAATGCTCTTCCTAGTAAAATTAAAAAATCAAACACAGTATTATAATTAAAACATAACTACAAATCTATGTACTTTTATCATTGCCATGATATTTGTACTTTAAAGCCATATAATAATTGTTAATCGAGTTTAAATTGGATTCCATATTTATTGATCATTATTATTGAATTTGTATTGTTTAATTTATTATGTTATTAGTATTGTATTAAGAGAGCCTAATTGAAAATTGGTGTAATCCAAATGAGTTCCTCTCTCTTAATAAAGATGTTATTATAATTATTATTATTAAAGCATACAAAAAACCTCATCCCTAGTTCAAGTTCAATCACTTCTATCATGTTAACATAACCGCCATACGAATCCTATACTCAAGTTCAATCACGGCTATCACGTAAACTCAACCGCCATACGAATTCAAATTCAATTCACACAATGCTATCACGTTAACTCAACCGCCTTACACATGTACATTCAAGTTCAGCCAACTGCTATAAAGGTCACTCCATCGCCATGTGAATTCTAATTCAAGTTCAATTACTGTTATCATGTTACCTCAAACGCCATGCGAATCCTAATTTAAGTTTAATAACTGATATGAAGTTAACTAAACCGCCATGCGAATCCTAAATCAAGTTAATTAAATCACTTTTATCGCGTTAACGCAACCACCATGCGAATTATAATTAAAGTTATATCACTTCTATCACGTTAACGCAACCGCCATGCAAATCCTATTTTATGTTCAATCACTGCTATACGTTAACTCAACTGACATGCGAATCTTATTTAAGTTCAAGCACTGCTATCACGTTAACGCAACCGTCATGCGAATCCTAATTCAAGTTCAATCATTTCTATCGCGTTAACTGATAAGCCGTGCAATCCAAATTCAAGTTCAATCATTGCTATAAAGTTCACTCAATCGCCACCCAGCAAACACACGACGTACTCCCAACGTCGGTTAATGGTCGTCTGACACTGGTTCTCCGGTAAAGCGCCTTACGTCAGAGTAAAAAATGATAAAATATAAATTGCAGCAAAACTTATAAATAAAGAACATGGAACATCCTCATAGTATATTCTATCCACCATACAAATTTCAGCATTTAATATGCTACCGTTAATTTGTAATGATCGAGACAGTTTAGATAAAAAAAATGTCAAAAAAATACATTTAACGTCATTTTATTTCCTTTGACGTCGTGATTTTCAATACCAAAAATGCTAAAAACTTTAAATAATTTCTTTTACGGTGTTTTGTTATCTTTATTTATTCACATAAACTTTAATGTGCGTTTTTTTTGTGAGTTGAAATTAAGGAATATTCAGCCATGTCTGCTTTATATTATGTCTGTCATTTTTCTTTATCTCTTCAACATAAATTTCGGTATTACATCTTCCTGTGGACTGTTTCCTTGTGAACTTGTACGCTTGTACGCTTGTACTCAGCATGTCGGTCTTGTACAAGGCAGGATTAATATTAATATCGTAACATGCTTTCGACCCGAATATGCATATAATTCGCCGCTGAATCCTCCTCCTCCTCCTCCTTCTCATCATCATGATCATCATCTAGTTTGCCAATCTGTGTTACCATGAATTATCATCGATGTGGTCATATATATATATAAAATCAACTGTTTCGAAATTGCACTAAAATGGCGTATAATGCATTCATCCCTTGATTTTAATAGTTTGAATAACTAAGAATTTTCTATGTAGACGAAACACAATTCTTGTATCTTTGATGGGTTACTTCCTTTGATATTCAATAATACTTTTTTCTTTGTATCGGAAATTTTGAAATAATAAAAGAGTAACGAGACGTGTTTACATCTGACCAAAGGATTAAACGAATCACTTATTTGATAATGTTTAAAGTTATTATAATACTGCAATTTTAGAGGAGATATGATTTATTGATTGTTGTTTTCTGAACGTAAAGTGGCAAATATTTCATGCAGATTTATGACCGATAAAAATATATATAAACAAAACCATGACGAGAGACACACGACAAAAAAACAATCAGCAAAATATAAAATATAAAAACATTTTCCATAGATTTTTTATTCATAGTAGGCAACCCTCTTTGTTGGTTGGTTGTAGCATATTAATCTCACCGACTTAAATTTTTAAAAGAGACCACCAAAAAAGACCAATTAAACAGCTTCTCCTTGTTGATACTCTTATTCTAGTAGTATTATGCATCCTATTCCGCTTGAATATCAGATATTTATTTGAAATAACCCAAGATATATGAGGTGGTTTATAGAATAGAAATAATTCCTCCGACCCCCCCCCCCCCCCCCCCCAAAAAAAAAAAGGCAATCAAATAAGGAATAGAAAATAATGGGGTGGTAAAATGTATTTTTAAAAATAATTGTATAAAAATTAAGAATAAGGTAAAAAAAAATACTGTTTTTCAGAAATAAACGATTTACAGAATAATGAAACTTTGCGTTTTCTGCATATCAAATTTATTATTGATAATTGACAATAGAATAGTAGATTATTTGGAATAAAATGTTGAACTGGTCGTAATCGGAACTGGTAATTGAAATTAGCGATGCAAATTCTATACATTCATAATCCTCGGTGTTTTTCTACAAAATCACGATCTTGCACGAGTTAACGTATCATTTCGTCTCCTATCCTATTGCAGACAAAGTTAACCTTACATCCTTCTCCTGCATTGTGTCACAATGATTACATTTTACACCACTGATAAAACAGTTCGTGACAGAGGTCAGACCAGGATAACCATTGACAACAAAAAGCTCTGCAATAGTGTTTTGAATTTATCTTCATCATTTACGCCCAGCGCCGAATATTCGGCCAATGATGTAAAAGAACAGAAAGAGTTGATGAGCTATCTGACCAAAAGGACAAAAAAAAAAAAAAAAAAAAAGCCAAATCAGTCGAAGATTAACTTTGCCCGATAGAGCTGAAACCTTAGTTTCTTTATAATTTCAAAATTTATAAATGGACAATTGAAGGGAATTGAAAGGAATTGCAGAATCAGAACGCTGTCATAATTCCTACGTCTTCAGTTTCATGTTTGTAAGATCCATAACTCATTAAAATTCAAACAACAATTTATTGGTTAGGGCTGGAAGATTGATGCTTGAGGACGGATGACATTGTCTTAGATTTTTTAGTGGTATAATATTTTTTTTAGTACCAATAAATGTTAAATATTTAAGAATTGAATGCTTCTTTTTGTAAATTTATTGGAGTGTAAAAGCGTTGACCGAAGTACATTTTGTATAAAGCGCGTAAGCGCTTCGTTTTAAAAATGTGCGTACGGTCAACGCTTTTACACTCCTATAAAAACTACTAAAAGAAGCAATCAATACTTATAATTACATTTTTTTGCTTGGATCATCAAAACACGATTTCTATCAAGTTTTTCTTTTATTTACCTGTGCACTTTATTGTGCAAGCTCGTGTCATCATGAATGTTACATTTCATTTTGAAATGAAGGTTAATTTCAGAATGACGCGAGATTGCTCTTAGCCAATCAAAATAACGTATTATAATGAAACATACATACATGTAATGTAATTATATTTTAATATTCTCCAAAACAATTGATTGATAGGAAATGTTTTTATATTTTGTTGGACAGTTGGGTAATCAAGAATAAAATCTAGTTCTGGAGATCGAATTTTTATTCTATCAGATTCCAGATTTCTCTTAATGTCGGTTAACTACCGGTACTGTCTCTGTTATAAAACTGAATGTTCTGCTTCTCAGTACTAGTACCTCATATCACAAACCAAATATACTATGATCAAATATACCTCATGTCATCTTAACCTCTGTTTATTATCCCATATATCCAAATTATTACGAAGAAATTAAAATAGTTTTTTTTTCTCCCCCTTTAATTTTAATCAGATATTGATCAAAATTGATAAATGGTCTCATTTGTGCAGTTCAGTGACAGATTCCAAAAAAAGGGGTGTACGGGGTAATGTCGTCATACGTACGTCGTTGATACGAACAAGAAGATCTGTCATGTCAAAATTGTGATACAACAGGAAATTTAATTTCATATGCAGGAACTGAACACAAGAATTTTACAGAATAAGCATATTTCTTACTGAATAGAGAAAAATGGCCAAAAGAATTACAAAATACAGAAATTTACACCCCTCCCCTTATCCAGACCGTCATATATCATTGTGACGGATAGCTTTGTTTGATCTATTTAACTGTATTTATTTTCGAAAAGAATATTTGTACATGATGTTTTTAATAAATGTAACGGACAATATATACCACGCCCTCTCAGCCGACGTAACTTCATTTTAATGAAAGAAAGTAATTAAAAGCTTCTCTCCC